AAAATGATTTGAATTTAGTTTAGCACCTTTGATTCCTTTTCTTGGCTGTCATGCAATGGCGAAAAACGGGTACTGTGACTATTTTCAATCATAACTGAGCTTGGCGCTACTATTTATATATCATATTTTTTTAAACCAAGAAGAGTAATGTTCCCGTGGTAGGGAAATATTTTTTCCACGCCACTAAGTTGCACTTAATAAAGAATTAAAGCCGGAATTTGTATAACCACCCTCTTGGTGGGAACATGGATGTCATTCAAAAGAACATTTGCGACCTTCAAACTTCTAAACCTCTTGGCAATCAGATATGCAGATTTTCCCGTCGTTCAATGTTTAGGGAGCGCATCAGTTCACGTTTGCGAAAAAGAAGGAAAAAAGTTTGCAGTATTCACGCCGTGATGGCCAGTTGCTGATTGCACAAATAAGACACTTTTGGAATTTGTGATTCAGTTGGCACATGACGTTAATGCTTGACCTTAATTCTGTGACATACCAATCCGTGGGCTAAGGAACCGTTAAAAACGTAATGACCATATTTTCTCGAATAAGCGCCCACGCTCTAGTAATTAAGCGCCCACTCCCCGGCCATAGGCTACAATATCAAACAAGCACCCCTTCCGAATACGAATATAAGGAGAACCTGTTTCTATACCAAGTTCACAAATGACTCTTTAAGCTTTAACTATAGCGGAATCAGAACAAGGGAAAAGTTTCCTACTAAACGCACCCTCGATTAAGCGCGCCTTCTTTTGGCCGAAATTGAAATAAACGCCTGAGCGCATATTCGAAGGGATACGGTAGCTGAAAAATTCTTCGTGGCTCGCGAGGTTGATGTGTTAAGTTCACGTTAGATCCAACAACCTAGTTGATTCCTAAATGCAAAAATAATTTTCACATTACTTGGACAAGAGTAATGATCTACTGATCTATCTATCTTTTCAATCAAGACGTTATAGCAAGTGCCTACGAGGTGGTAAGTTTTTTGATTAACCAATCATTCAGCGAAAAGCAGTTTTTCTGAGATCGAACCCATCGGGAACAAAAGAGGTAAGAAGAAAAGAACAAAAAGTGATTCAAATTGCAATTGGCCTGGCGTCTTATTTTAACTATAAAATGCTGCAATAATTCTCAGACATATGAGAAATCAAATGATTCATTTTTCGTCTGGTTAAACTGGTTCAAAACCGGTTGTTTGAGATGCTCACGCTAGACCATAAAAGTTAATCAATTATCCTAATTATCCTTGATGAATGCGCAGGCACGAAATTGAAAGAAATGTTTGCGTGCCTTCTTTAACGATTACGATCTAAAAAAAGAGATACAAGTTAATATAATTGCAGATTTCAGAGGTTACTCACCGTTTGCTGATCATTCAAAATACGAATCACGAAAGTCAAAAAAAAGGAAAAAAATATTTGAAGATTTCAATGACTTAAAAGGAATTTTCTTTGAAAAAAATCTGAAATTAAACTCATAACGTAATGAAAAATAAAGGTCGCGAATTCAGAAATTAGAAGCTGATGATGCAAAATATTTGCCAGAAACCGCCAAGGTTTATTATCACACTGGATTCTATCCGCAATTGTTGATGTTTCGTTACGATTCAGATCTTCAGACATAACCAGATAGCTCTGGGCTTTCGTGATACAGCCTGGAGCCTACAGTAAATGAGTTCGCGTATACAAAATAAATACGCATTAAAACCAATTTAAATCTTTCCGTGACTTGAAATATTCTAAATATAATAATGGCTATTTAGATTTTGTGTAATAAGGTGCGGTTAAACTTGGGTTAGAATTAGGACTGAAATTGAATTATGTATTTGAATTTACAAACAAACGCTGAGGTTCATAAATATTTTGTTATCTTAGGAGGAATAAAAAATTAATTTGAGATGGTGTGTAACTTTAGAGCGATAAGAAATATATTTCTTGCATTGAAAATTTATTCGATCGGCTGAGTTAGCATGGAATTCGCATTTTGCACTCACAGACTAAAAGAAACTGGCTTTTTAATCTTATCTTGCTATGTTAATAATTCAAGGAATAATTTTCAGCGAGTCATTTTCATTCAGCCGCACTAGAGTAAGAAATCCAGTTCAATCACTATTTTAAAGTTTGATTACCGCTCCTTAATTTTTTCAGGAATTGACCGAGAACACTTCACTCTGTCAGGATTTGAGAAAGTGTTTCTTATTTCTTAGCGACAGGCAAATATTTCTTGAAAGTAATTCTTCCTATCTAAAGTGATCCATTGTCTGGCAGAACCGTTAAGCCACATTTCGTTAACGTAGCACTCACGCGACATGGAAAACTCTCCTACAGGGGTTTCATGAAGTTGAGGGTAAAAAATGTGAAAGAGAAGGTTCGAAGTTAGTTAACTGCATGACAAATACTCACGTTTATCAAGAAAAAAGGCTGCTAAATGGAGATACCTTCCCAAGGGTTGGTCTTCATCTCTCAAGTTGTTGATTACAATTGTGAAGTCTGCAAGAAGTTTCAACTTTAATATAGTTCTATTCGACAATATCGCTTTCTAAAAACAAATAAAGCGGTGTTTTAAATTTAAATGTAATACACATTGCAATTATTTGACCAATGCAGCCAATCATTGTCTTAATATTCTCATCTGAATGGCATAATTCTGAATTCTCAATAACTCTTAGATAATCTTTTCTCTGCATCCGTAATGCGCCGAACCTTCTGGATTCTGTTAGCAGGAAAACAAAGCAGAGGAAATTCAAAGCGTGTGATTTACGTGTCAACCTTGTTCTGTTTTAGACTCGTGGTTTTTTCTAGGTGCTCTTCTTTTCGCGAAATAAAGAAGACTACTCTATTTCGTGACTACGAGAAATAGATTATCAGAAACTACTTTAATTGCTTCACGAAAATAGGAAGTTTTGGTAGTAAAAAATGGCCCTTGGGCGATATGAAACTTGACTGCGAAAAGCGCCACTTCTATGAAGAGAGCTTTTTGTTTTTCTTATCATTGTTCGTAACACACGTTGAACTGCAACGCTTGAGTCACGACACAAGTTACATACTCTACATTTGACATCGGCTTTTCTTTTGTCGGAAAGAAAAATTAATTTATATCAAAATGAAATAAAGTTTGATGAGATGGGCCGCCGAGACAAAGGTATGACTGACCTCAAAATATTTAGACTGGTTTCCCAATTTTTTTTCCTGATAAAAAGATATATAAAATTGCACATATTACCTTTACCACAAATCATGACAAAAATCTTATTCGTCTCTAAAATAAAATCTTAAAGGAAAGCTCTTCCGATGAAATAAATGAAATTTATCAAGGTCAGCTAGATTGCTTTCTTTGAATCCAATGTTTGAATCCAAACGCACGCGTTTTCTTTTGTTCTTGGGATCGATACTGTGGAATGGTTTTTAAATACAATTCTTCGTTTAAAAACAATAAATGCTAATTATTTCCAATCGTAACCTTTTTTACGATGGCCGATTCGTGAATTATTACAATAAAAGTATAAAGGGTTCTGTGACCACAAACGTACGAGATAACTTGCTAAAATAACACTGGGAAAAATCGAGGAGAAAAAAAAAAGTTTGCCTGCAGTTTTGTTTTAAAGATCGCTTCAGCCATCTATAGAGTGCGTGACTTATTTCAAAAGCCATTCAATGATGAATGAAAAGTCTTGAAATGGCTGCAGCGCTTCCACGACAGGAAGTCGAAAGCGTCCGGCTTAAAGTCTTCTTAAGCTACAGCTACAGGAACCTAGCTTAAGTACTTGATGGTATTTGAAAAGGGTGATCTTGAGGCTTTTCAAATTAATGTGTGCAGATAACAATCACAAAAAGCCAATTCCATGTACTTTTGTTCTATGCCGCGGGTGAACAGTCCCATAATTCCTTTCGCACCGTATCCCATCTCAAAAAAAAAAAAAAGGACGCGTAGGGGTGGAGAAGAGGAAGAGTGCGCCGAAAGGAGCGTGAAATAAAACGCAGGTCAAAAAGTCTGATAGCACAAATTTGAGTGCTGTCAGAAACTCATTAAATTGGGATGACGAAGATCAGGTTCTTGCTGCAATTTACTGTCATATTAAGACACTACGTTACAATTATATCGGACGCTATTTCACTGATACACTCCTAATAAAAAAAAGGAAGCAAAAGACAAAAAATAAAAAAAGCCAAATTCGAATTAATTAGAATGCGGTGCGAGCATACGGCATGAGCATTTAAATAAATATACATTTTTTTAATTTTTGGAATCGCTTAGAACTTCTAGTTTGAAGGAATTGTTAGGTGGAAATTCCGTGCAAATTGCGGGGCTGCCAGAAGTTAGTTTCACTTGCTAATTAATCCCTATTTCCTTAATTTTTTTGGTTTTGCTTTTCTCTATCCCAGCGTTATTGCAAAAGGTGTAGACAGGTGCTCTACAATAACATAACCCTTGAATATAACAATTGAGATATCAACACCCTGGGAGTTTGGAGAGCATGAAAGATGCGTTAGAAATGCTCTTGGCACTTCTGAAGAAAATGAAGGTACGTGCTGGTAGCACGTTCCCCGTAGAAAAGTCTAATCATAATTGAGAATACTCGAGTACTTTATATTTGACCTGTGGTAGTGAGCTACAAAGTGACGAATTGGTAGTCGGATGCTATCTGCAATTGAGGTAACCTGTCAGCGATTATTCAAGCCACCTTATGACAATTGTTTGCCAAGGTGGTCAAATACTTAAAAAATCAGAGTACACAAATGAGAAAATGAAGATAGTTTAGGTTGAAGTTGGTGAACACGGATTGCTTCTAACAAATTTGAACACTTTTGGCCTAAATCGATAATCATTAATGACTGCAATTTACGAAGAAAGAGGGAAACGGTTTGCCGATAAACACAAGAACAGACGCATGCATATCATTACTGTTGTTTCTTCGTTTGCAATGCGCCATTCGTAGTCTGTACATACAACGAAACCTACAGCTATTCCACTGTATTTCTCAGTTTCGCCTTCGACAGACAACAGACAATTTAATTCAATTTATTCTTAATCATTCTGTCGAATAAATAAATCTACAACGAGGTTTGACCCATTTTACAGATTGACTAATTATGAATAAATATTAGAATCGCATACTTGAATAAAATCTTGCATTCTCATTAGTTAACGAAGCGAGATATTTAGCGTGGATCTGCGCGGTGAAAACTAGGCTAAGAGAGATTGTTTCGTATCTCTTGTTTTGCGCTCGGGATAAAACAAACTATATCATTGCTGTTTTCTTTTTTTCTTATTTTTCTCAAATTATGCGATTCAAGGGAAATCAATTACCTGACGAGGGAATTCCGCGTTAAATTGCACCTGAAAACTGATTTGACGCGGAATTCCCCCGTCAAGTAATGTGTTTTCAAATGCAATCTATAGTCGACTATCAACACGTGCTCTAGGGACAGCCATTTTAAGATAAATAAAGTGGTTATTGTTTCCACTCGTACAGTTGTTTATGATATTTATACATGTTTAGTATTCATTCATTCTCGAACAAATAAAATTTACTTCCGCGTTCTACAATAAAATAAACACCTTTCCCTCTTGATTAACGTTTTCGTTTCTCCCAAAAATATATTACTGAAGAGAATTGTACAACCTAAAGTTCATTCTTAAATATATAATACGATAAATAAAACGCCGATGCGTTTGTCTCAATTTCCAAGAGACATTCCAGTAACTTAAATAAATTCAAATAGACTGTTCGTTGCAACCAAAATCTTGTTTTGAATGCATGACCACATCACTGACAGCCTAAGAGCAAATGCTTATCATCGGACTTCGGTGCGAACGTTTCTTCACCCGCGACTAAGTTTGAGGCCTTAAGGAACACTAGCCAGTGGAAGTTCTGCAAGAAGTCTAACACTGATATTGAGTGCCAGACCCTCCGCAGGCCTTTACCAGACTCGTCTCCAATCTTCTCGCGGACAGAAAATCACTCGCCTCGCAATTCTAGCTAGTGATGAGGGTCTGATCGCAAACTACATCACTGAGAGTCAGAAAGTTTCCTTAAAGATGTCAATTGTACTTCTACCCATACTCGATCAGTCACGCGCTCTCACGTTCCTAGTATTTTTGGATTGATTGATAAGGCTAGTTTTCAACTTCGAGCAAGTTATCTCTCAAATAGCTAAAATAAGACCTTGCCATTTGTGTGCCACCCTAAATTCACTTCTTGTGGGCATATAGCTTAGTCACGTGATTGCATGACTGATTAGCACATATCTTGCTACCACTACGAAAGTGTGACAAGTTAATGCAAGAACTATGGAAACTTGGCGAAGACGTGCAACGGCACAAAAAAATATTAAGCAAACGGTTACACTGGGAGGTCGTGACCTTCTAACCTCGTGTGACAGAGAGCTACAGAATAACTTTCCCTACCAATGCACAGCCATTGAGACTCGGGTTCACACAGCCTTAATCAATATGCGCAATCTCAACTAATCTGACTGAGGAAATAAATTTGCCCCAGCATCGAGTAAGACAGAAAATTATCATATTGAAAATATCACTACCTATGCTGTCAGGGTTTGGAATACCGTGCTCGCTACTAATAAACTCAGTCTATGTAGGAAGTCTAGCACTTAACCAGCTTCAGGAGTCACAAACCCCTTTTCTGGAGTCCGAGGGAAATACGCACTATATCCACTGGCATATCATACATCCCAAGTTTCATCAGAGGAGTCGGTAAAGTTGTGAGCTGGACCGCTACTGCGCTTATCCTAGGGTGAAATATGCAGATAAAATATAAACATCTTTCAATGTAGCCTGCTCTGGGAAGCCAGCTTTAAGGGACGACCGCAAAGCCAGAGAAAACGGGAGAGGGAAGGAACGACTGGCCCCATTCCCTGTCGGTTATCCTGAAAATCCTGCCGACTTTTCCCCGCCCACTCATTCATTCGTTCCCATGGACCACGAGACTGACAAAGTCTATATTGCTGCTTCAATTTAATCCTCTCTTCACGCCCCCCAGTTGAAACATTTAAACTGATGCTAGCACAGTTGTAACGATTTTAACGGCCTGTTCTTCACGAAAACACGAGAAACATTACGGTAAAAAATCAGAATTACCGTTTTATTAGCGGCAGTCAGAGGAGAGTCCTGTTGACAATCTTTGTGCCACGAATCAATTAATTCCCAGAACCTCTTCTGGTTTGTGACGAAAGTAGCATTCTGAGGTGTGGAAACAAAAAACGAACACTTCAAAAGCAAGCTAGAATTTTCTACCCAAACAACCTGTCTCTCTCCCGCGTACCGTGTGTTTTCATGTACAACAGGTCAGTCTACTGAGTTTTTAGCTCATATAAACCTCAAAATACTGCTAAGAAATTAATGGGAAATGCGTTACAGCTATTTTTAAAATTACTGACATGGTTGAAGAGCTATTTGCGCCCGTTATAGTGTAAAACGTACCTCTTGCTTTAGAATCCTCATTTTGGCACTTTGCTGAGCTAAAGTTTCTCTAAGCTACAGAAAAAAGGTGAAGGAACACCGGTCAACTGATGTTAGTTCGCATTGAATATTTTTCTCTCTTGAGATAGTACAAATATTTTTATTATGCATATAAACTGCGATGTTTTACAAGGATTTCCAGCATTGATTAAAACCTTAACAGCGCACGTGAAAACAACGATAATTTTTTTAACGTCGTTTCGACATCGTCAGACTCCGACGATGTCGAAACGACGTAAAAAATTATCGAACGACATCGGGTGTCGTTGTCAAGTAACTTGTGTTCCTTAGTTTTCGCGTTATAATAGGTGGCAAAATACGTAAAGTGACAAGAAAACATGTGACTATTACGAAACTATGTTCATTAAGGAAAAAAAACCAGTATTGCTCTGATTTAGTTTGATTTAACGTTTGTGAATATAGGAAATCATATATTTGAACTGCGGTTCAAGAAATGAGTATGAGAGCGATCTTCGCAGCAATGAACACTACTTAAGCATCACTTCACAGGTTTATTAGAACCAACATAAAGACCAGGGGCCCGTTTCTCGAAGGTCCCGGTAGTTTAATAGGACCGTTAAGCTGTTCTGTTTTCATTTAAGATGGGGTTTTAAAAGTTTTAATAATTATGCCTTAAAACTATCAGCACTTAAAATATGGTTTCGGGCCTGTTAAATTAGCGGGAGCTTCGAGAAACGGGCCTCAGCTACCATTTGGCTTGTTAGCCCGCAGTTGGTGGAGCACTGCATCGGTATCGTGGAGGTCACGGGTTCGAATCCCGTACAGGCCTGAATTTCTGTCATTACTGCGAATATCGCTCTCATACTCATTTCTTTAACCGCACGCCTTGTTTTCACTACTGGTTAAGTAATGTTCATTTCTGCGAAGATCGCTGCCATACTCATTTAGTTTGATTTAGAATTGAGTATTGGCTTCAAGATCTCTGATATATAATATTTCATATATCAGGTAGTCAAGTTTATTCCTGCGTTTTTCCGATTGGAAATCACATCAAGAGTGAATACACTATGGAGCCAAGGAACCTCAAAGACCATTTTACCATCTTGGTAACTTGAAGGTATGGAATTTCTATTCTTGTCTTCTACTCTATATGTCACGAGTGTGCGCTGCGAACGAGTAGGATATCGTGTTGAACACAAGAAGAAAAAGTCCATATCTACGCGACCCCATGTATTATTCTCTGTATGTCAAGCGCGCCTAAAGCGGACTTTGCCCTTTTTACGAGGTTCATTCTTCGACGAGAAAACTTGGCCTAATCATCACAGGTTCAAAGTTCATCAACAAGAAGGAACTATTACCTTTGAATTCTCCTGCTCAAGTGTTAAAAGCCGAGCTGCCATTTCTTGAACATCGCCTGAGTTAAAAATATAAAAAAAAAAGAAGATAACGTTGATACTAACGGAAAATGGCTCAGACTGGGCATGGAATTCGACTTTCTGAGTCATTCGACAACTCATTTTCTCATCGGCCATGAAATAGCGACTAACCTGGCAGGAGATCACACTGAATCTCTACTGAAGTCATTGATATTTCACTAAAAAAAAAAAAAATAAGGGAAACTAAGGTTTTCTGTCAAATAAAAGAGATGTTAAAAAAAAAACCACAACAAAACAAATTCTTGAGTTCCTATCGGAAGGCAATAAGTTGTGTAAAGTTATCAGAAACGAATAAAGAAGTATCAACAGTACAAAGAGTGTTAAAAATATCATGTAACAAGCATCAACGTATCGAAATTGTACTCTATTGTAAGTGCTTTATCTACCATCCACAATACAGAGATAACTTTGCTCATCTGAAAGTTTTGCGATATTTGAACGTCGTGTCGAGGAATGTAACCGAGAATGTTCTGGGCTTGACAGGTTAATACCAGTTGTGACAGGTTAATACCAGTTGTGACAGGTTAATACCAGTTGTGACAGGTTAATACCAGTTGTGAAAATTATGGGGCTTCGCTGCGCGCGCTGCAAGCTCCGCTAAGGTAGTTGCATACTCAGGATCGAAGAGCGCAAAGAACAGTTACATGACCTCTCTGGAGAAACTTTTTAATTCAGTTCGCTCTATGATACCTTGTTTTCTCTCATTACAATGGTGGCTTTGAATTAACAAATAAGGGGATATGACATTTCAAGTTGATCTCTTAGCTGACGGTGGCTTTACAACTTACTATTTGTTTGGAGAAGGGGTTGGCGACGGGCCATGTCTGGGAATATACTCAGCTTCACGGAGTTCCTGTAAAAGTAAAATGAAAAAATAACAGGACCAGTGATCGTTTATGAAGGGGGGAGGGTGGTAGGGGAGCAGAGGATTTTGGGGGGAGTACGTGGTTTTCAGGGAGGTAGGCAGGGGGCATCAGCCGTTACCAACAGGGTATAAAAGGAAGACTATAGAAAAATGGCTGCCAATGAGGGGGATCATAAGAGCTCTGCAGACCCTGGAGGGGGGATAGCGAAATTTTATCGTGACGTAACCAAAATCCTCCAGGCCCCCAGATGATAAATAATTACCGGTACCTAGAAAAATACATTGAGAACTTTTCATAGGAGCATCGTAAAATAACAAACAAAGTCATGCTTTGTGGCCGATCAGAGCACAGACAAAGATCACAAGGGGACACACAACTTGACGGCAAAAAAAAACACCTAACGCGCAGGAAAACGTAAGTGACAACTTGGGGATTTGTTCATTTTTGAATTTGAATAGCCGAGAGAGTGGCATGAGTTTCTTGACCAACAAAAGAGCGAAATAATAATAGCCTTATCGAGACAAGCAAGACACCACCCGCCATTATTTTAACTACTACTCCAAAACACAATACTCATTAATCAGAAAAAATCAACTGGAACTTCTGAATAATAGTATAATAAAAACTGATACATTTCTGAGCCAGGCTGGGACACTGCTCTCGGAATTGGACAAACTACGTCCACTACTGGATGCGTTTGCCTGGGACGGGCTCCTGCTCGAGCTGTGTGAGTTGCTTGAGCCGATGGAAATGTACTCCGCCTGGTCAAGTTCCTAAAGAAGGAGGAAAGGGTAGGAATTATCCACACCAAAATGGTTGCAAACAACAATTTAGGAACTGAGTTGAGTTCTACAAGCTCAAAAAAGAAAAAAAAAAAGAAAAAATTCCGAGCCAGGTATGTAAAACTGTGCAATGTGATCTAAGAGGGGATTTCAAGTAAGAGAAGATTAACACAAAGGCACGTCGCAGAAGAAGTATTGAAAACACTTTTACATCTTGATGATGGCTTAAAAACTTGATACCAAAATTGTTTATCTAAAATTTATCTTCATTATCTGTACCATTTTAAGCCTTTTTTTTTTTCCCCAGGGGTGACCAACATAGCCCATCTCGTTACACTACAATTAGTTTTCCAGTAAAAAGGTGTCACGAGCGAAGAAAAATCTCTGTAGGGCCTATTGTTTGATTAAACACCAAATTCTTAGAGTCACAATGATACAAAACGTTTGGCAGACAGTTCGAAGGATGGAGCTTTACATTTTGAGAGTGGGAATTTGTGCCACTGTTACCGTATTTGCTTTATTTACCCATTCTTCCTATCACAGCGGAAACTTTACTTCGAAGTGAAAAGACCTTACAGGCGTTTCTTAAGAAGGTAACAACAAATCAACACTTACATCCTGGAGCCAGGCTGGTGGCACACTGCTCTCTCCCACACTCCTTACGCCGGGTCCAGGGTCTCGAGGCGAGCGGCCCACACCTGAGTCCTTAGTCTCGCTGAAGTGGACATTCGGGTGGTTGGCGCCACTGTCATGATTGATGACTAATCCCATCTGCTCCGAAAAGACTGAATCTCCGCCGTTGTCACCCGCTGTCAATGGTAAAAAAAAAAAACAATTTGCCACCTCAGAAATAGTGACTTATCTTGTCTTAAAGGAGAACCTCCAATCTTTTGGGCTGATGATCAGTAATGGTTGCTCGGAGCTCTCGCGGTGAAGAGAATTTGGTGAATATGTCACAGATCTTTTCATCAAGTGTTCGATCAGCGGTGAACATTATCAGAATTCAACCCTAACGCTCCTCAATATTCTTCATCTTCTACTTCACTTTCCTGTATGTCTTCACTGTAAGAGTGCTTCTACTTCACTTTCCTGTCTGTCTTCACTGTAAGAGTGCTCTACTTCACTTTCCTGTCTGTCTTCAATGTAAGAGTGCTTCTACTTCACTTTCCTGTCTGTCTTCACTGTAAGAGTGCTTCGGCTCCAACTGATGGGGGAGATCTGTGACGCATTCGCTAAAAATTTTCTTCAGGCGACAGCGATATAGCAAAGCAAACTTTCAAGCCGATCAAAAACCAAGTTATGAAATGTTTGATAAGCACGTTATGGGGATCTAGTTCTTTCCATCTCTCACGCCTCCCCGAGAAGTAAAAACTGTACTCACACGACTGGGACTCTAGAGATCGCCCTTGAGACCCTCCACGTTTGACAGTCCGCGAACTGAGGACACGTTCTGTGAAAAAAAGAAAGAAGAATCCAGAATTATGCGTGAAATTGTGGTCTACTGTTTCTCACTCAGAAATTAGTTCACAGATAAAAATGAATTTCATTCCTCATATTTACTTAAAAAAATAAAATACCCAAACCCCAACTGTATTTCTTTCGCTTCTAAGTAGTCTCATCCAGAATCGTCGTTTGGGTTTTTCACACTCGATTCTCGCCATCTTCGCTTGGTTTGAGAATGCGTTGTGTGAGGAGCCGTATTTACCCATGCTAAACGTGTCTTCCCAGTCCCAGGAAACTTCTTCACACTTCACCTAAAACATCTTCAGGTAGACCGCGCATCAATACAAATATACGGCTCTTTCACCGTCGAAGTCTGCACAAAGACTTCTTTGAAAGGAGAAATAAATGAAACAAGCAAAGACTGGCCACTCCTATCAACACTCAAAATTTCTTCAAAACTTTTTCACGAGCTTTTTCATATTTACCTGCAACGATGAGAGAATTCCAGTGTCTGCACGCCACGCAGGACATCACGTGTAGGGCGCCAAAGATCGGCCTCGGGACAGCTGTACACGGGATTCCACCCTTGGCGCGTGCGAGACTGTCAGTCAATACACCAAGTCGACCATTGTCACCCCTACCCCACGAGTAGATCTGATTGTCTGAAGAACACAAAAACAAATCAAGATTGACCCTTAACAGCCTAACCTCAGTGCCAATATTCTACGTACTCTTTTCAATACATTTCATTTTACTGGTTTGAACCCGGGGTTAATTAAACAATAGAGTGTTTCTGTCGAGGAACTATCGGCTGATAGTTGACCCGCGGAAATTTGATGTTCTTAAAACAAATGTGCTGGTTTTAAGAACATCAAATTTCCAAGGGGCAACTATCAGACCGATAGTTCC